ACACACACACACACACACACACACACACACACACACACACACACACACACACACACACACACCAATTCTTCCCACGGATGCACACCACATGTATGTTCACTGAGAAGGGAGGTCTATTTGGTGTGTGCTTTACCCCCCGCTACTCTGTGCATCGAGTCTCAGTCCAATTGTATCTGGGTGTGTCGTGTTTGCTTCTAGTGCTTTGTGCGTGCGCATTGCTCGAGTCTCCTGCTGTGTTCTCTCATCGCCCTTCTCCACAGGATTGGCCTCATCTTTGGCATGCCCAACTATTGGTCTGTCGAGTATGCAACACTTCCCAGGACTGTTTGGTTTTGTGACTTCTGTCTCAGGTTTTCTTGGTTGCTTTTCAAATTTTCACTCTGAATAGCAGTTTGTTATGTCTTCCTTGCCTCTTATATCACGCACTTGTGAGGAATCTCTACTTATTCTATCCTTATGTCCTTTTTCTCTGTCAATCACAGCACCACTAAGCCGTAGCAGTGATGCCCAAGGGGACCAAGGGTCAGTTCGACCTACTGGGCCGAATAATCTGGCAGTCCCAGGGAGGCCCGAGCACATGAGGCTCCGGAACTCCAGAGCTGGGTGGAAAACCCAAGGTCGAGTCCAGATGCAACGGCTCTGCGCATTAGCAGCCTGATATTTCCACTGTTCTGCTTTGGGTGTAATGGTGGTGAAAGCACAAGCACATTCAGAGCAGCCTGATATTTCCACAAATCATGGTTGCCCTGGACCCGGACATCCAGACACCGTGCACCGGGCCTGGCCCCGGACATCCAGACACTGGACACCGTGCCCGGACCCGTGTCTGGATTAATCCGGATATCAGTACAAAGTAATACAAACTGAACATGGCTATAAATTACGACAACACAAAAATCTTTCACAGTTCTGATGCAACGGTGACGGTGTGCACAGATTCACAGTGTTTTTTTTCACGTTAGGGTGCGCTGACCATTACGATGCTCCAGCCACAGATTAGGAAAAGAAAATTTAAGAAATCTACTACCTTTGTAGTAACTGAAACGGCTGGGTAAAAAGGGGGGTTCACAATCATAGGCATCATATTTCATTTAGCCTCTCATGGTCTACAACTCTACGCTCAGTTTTTTTTTTCCATCTTACTGGTAAAGCTGGTTGCGGGATTGTGAATTTGTTCTTCAACGTAAACCGGGTTTTATGGGAGTAGTCTTTTGACACCTGCTGGTAGTATATGACTGCTCAAATCTCTTGTCGTTGTGGGGGTGTGGCGCAGTTTTGAGATCTTGCATACCAACCGATACAGGCACAGGCACACATAGTCAGGCAGGGTACCAGTCTGTAGCTGCTCACCCCATGGCACCCACCTACACTTGTATGGCCCACTCATCCATGTGCCTTTACCCACATTTACGGCGTATATTTGTCTTCATACCTTCATCCATCTTCTTCATGCATTACTGAGGCCGATGACACGTTATCAATTGTCTGTATCGCTCTGATGCTATATGCAAGACCAGAACCATTCCGCTGAGTCGACGCCATTACATTACTCGCTGATTAGAGAGTTATGCCATTCAGCCACTACATAATCGGGAGTTTCGTTATCCTCATTTGTTGCCACTTTTATCTCCCGAGCCGGCCTCGGAGGTGCGAGCATCCTATTGCTTGGTCCAACCAAGTGCTTTTCCACTCACATTTCGGCATATCGTCGTCATCCACACACCTACCAGAGTGTGTACTATCATCCTCCCCATTAGCATAGCGCCTTCATCCACATCATCAACTTATACGCATCTCCATGTCTGGTCATCCCTCGTGCATCCTACGCATCTGATATAATCTGTGTTCGAACTTGTGTCTGTATTCATATTCCATAATTCCACCAGTTCATGGGTGCACCAACTGAGCTAGGTAGGCCCGTCGGTGATTCGGTGGTTGTTCTCTTGTTTATCCATCTCTTTCAGGAAATTCAAGATGTCTTTTTGAATCACATGAGCAGCAGCCAACTTGGTGTTATCTGCAATGCATGGCTTGCAACTGCTGATCAAAGCCCATATGGTGCCAGCGACAAGAAGTGCAGAAAACTGGCGGAACTCGGCTCCATCGCTGTTGATGCTGCAAAGACCGGTGTGCATACTTTGGATACTACCATGCTTGGGTAAGTAGGGCTTTTTTTCTTCTTTTTTTTTCCAACCATTTCTCGATGTTTTATGCTGGTCAGCCTTGCACAGGGGCCATAGCCGCCGTAGTAATCTTCCCTCTATGGTTCCAATTTAACGGATGTTGCGAAGGACTTGGGTAAGTGAGGTTTTGTTTGTCCCGGGTGGCTTGGGTAAGTAAAGCTTCATTTTTTGAATGATTAATTTATCAAGTAGTATTAGCAAGGTAAGTCAGGTATGAAGGTAATTACTAATTAGTAATTAGTAATTGGTAGATGGTTAATGGTAAGTCAGGTATGAAGGTATGAAGGTAATTAGTAATTAGCAACTAGTAATTAGTAATTAGCAATTAGTAACTAGTAATTAGTAATTAGTAATTGGTAGATGGTTACTATGAAGTTTGAACTTGGAACCATCAAAAGTTGTTGCATTGTGAATGTTAAATAATAAATATGAAGTTATGATCTCAAGAGTAAGGAATCAGGATTCTAAGGAAGCTTTTGGCCTTGAGATATCATCATTTAGCTGACCGGCCGCAGGCAATTCAGAAATATTTGGTCTTACTCATCAATCAAGTTCCTTCATCTGGATTCGAACTCGGGTCTGCATTTCAACAGTTCATGGGTGCGGTCCCCACTGAGCTAGGCTCTTGGGTAAGAGTAAGGAAAACTTAATAGCAGAAGCTTGCACAAGTCGAACGCCTGCCGAACCAACTTGCTCGAGCTGAGTCGAGCACAATAGCAGAAGTCAACTTTTAGCAGAAGTCAACGTTTAGCAGAAGTCAACGGTTAGCAGAAGTCAACGTTTAGTTGAAAAGGTAACGAGTACTAACAAAAAAAAAAAAAGAGAACAAGGAAGCTCTTTAAAAAAAAAAAAAAGGTGTTACATCCTGTCTATGTGACTAATACTGACTATCCATTTCAATCCCTACTCAAAACAATAAGTAGGATATAATACCAACTGGCCTAGATCAGATGGTACACCAATGAACTGTTGAAATGCAGACCTGAGGTCGAATCGCTCGACAAGCATCAGCAAATTATTATGAGTAATATTCAGTCAGTTCTATGGTATTATCGCAAGGTCGTCGCCTTTCTTATTTTATATTATATTATTGTAAAAGTAAAAGAATGTTAAAGAACTTAGCATGTAATGTCCATGTGGATCGCCACATTGATTCATACATGACACGAGTCGACAGAGATTTGATGATGTGATGGTTTGATTAACCGGAAACGTCTTTCCGTGTAGCATGTGGTTGTGTGCATGCGTACGATGTCCTTTCCTCTGCGTTGTGCTTGGGTCAAGTTTGGTGTACTTATATGTTTGGAATATTACCCTTGGGGCATTTCATGTTTTGGCATACACAAGCCCAAAGGCTTACCCAGATTACATGGAGAAGCACGATAAGGAGACGTACGAGTCAGCACATATTTTGGGGGTTCTCTACCGAAGGTGCAAAGATTGGTTACCGTCAACAGGAGTTGGGAGAAGCGAAGATGGAATGAAAGTGAAAGGACCAGCAGTATCCACAGCAGAGCCGGTGGTAGCAGCAGCAACGGAAGGTGACGGATCGAGTAGGGGTGCCAGTGGCGCTTACGCAAGAGGCAGACGGAAATGTCTGCCAGTAGACAGACACCTCCTGGTCGATGGTCATGACAAGTATCTTTGCGAAGCCTTGAGGCTGAAGAAGCTTTATGATGCACAACTCAGGAAGTTGATGATGAAGTATGGGGCCTCTGATGAGCTGGATGTGATGGCAGGGAGAGTATCGGGCAGTCCAGCAGCCTACACAACCGGGAAACTTTCTGCTACCTCTGTCTCTCGTACAAGTGGGGAGGATGGAGACGGTGGCCGGTTGATTATTGCGTTCTCCGAGCTGCGCAGGAGTATTCGGCATCAGGCTTTCTGGGAAATGTTTGCTGAGAGCTACCTGTATGGTAATGAGGAGAGAGACCGCCGGACGTCGGCTGGGGGGGGGCAACTCAGTACCCGGTCAAACGGCGGTGGATTTTATGGATGCCGACAGAATGAACAGCATGTACTACCTCTGACAAGGGGCAGCCAAAGGGATAAGAAGCTTCTGGAAGAAATGAGGGCCAAGGCATCTGCCTGCTATGCTGTGACATACGACAGCTGTTCTCTAGAGAGAATCGGTGTGATACAAAAGGATGGTGACGAGTGGGAGGGATTCCATTTGGCAATGCAGGAAGAGGAGGAGAAGGAGGAGGAGGAGGAGGAGGAGGAGGGTCAGGAGCCACTGTTGAGCTTCCCTTGGGTTTTCTATGATATCCTTTGCGATATAAAAGCGAGCAAACTGGAAATGCAGCAGAAAGTTGGACGGCCACTCAAGTGAAAGAGAGGATTTTCAGACAAGGGGAAACATCATCATCATCATCATCATCATCATCATCATCATCATCATCATCATCAGAGGAGGAGGAGGAGGGGATAAAGCAGCCACAATCTATCAGTACTATAGTATAGTCATGGGACTAAGACCAGCTGCTTTCGCTAAAGAAGTTATGGGTTGCTGCTGCATGGTTGCTTTGCAAGTAGCCTCTCATCATCTGATGCTGTTTGTTGGCTTTTCCTTCATATTCTCTTCTCCTCATTCCCCCCCCTCCATCCATCTTTCTGCCACTCCTCTTTCCGCCGTCGATCCAGGAGGAGGCTTTCCCCTCCCTACGTCCATCTTTCTGCCATTGCCACTCCTGTTTCCGCCGTCGATTTGGGAGGAGGCTTTACCGACCCTACGTCCATCTTTCTGCCACTCCTGTTTCCTCCGCAGACTTGGGAGGAGGCCTTCCCCACCCTCCGTCCATCTTTCTGCCACGCCTGTTTCCGCCGGGGATTTGGGATGAGGCTTGTAGATGCAGCGCGTCTAGTGCCAACTGAGCAACATGTTCTCCTCTGAATTTCTCTGCCAGACTGTGCCAGTGCATCTCCACGCCCCTCCTATTCATCCATCACGAGAACCAACAGGGTGGTCATCCGTTGTTGCGCGTCTGCTGGCCTCGATGCGAAAACCTGCGCCACATCTAGCACTGTCATGTTCATAGCTTGTCTCAGCACCAAAGACTATGTACGGTCAACAGCTGACCACTGGTAGTATCTCCTCCCTTTTTGTTTCCCCCTCGAAAAGACATTATGTCATATGCCTCAGACAGACTCTCTGGGCATCGGTGACCTACCTGCTACCATAATGGAGGATGGAAAAAAAGACGATGATGACTCCCACTTCTCTCTCGTGCAGGACTAACTTTTTTTTTCCGCGCTAAAAAAAAGACAGAGAACGAGAGCTGTGCTTGCCTGCTGGCCGGCCTTCGATGTCCCTACAGGCAACAGCTCCCCACTGTGCTCCCATAACTGTTTGGCGCCTCAACAACAAGGATGAATCCAATGCTCTAACGAAGCTTGGCATCTGGTGGGGTTGATGTACAGAGATTGCAACTGGGACTTGCGTGCTGGCCTCAGGCTGAGCCATCGGTGCCGTCTTCTTGCAAGCTTGTCCTTGTCCTTGCCCAACGGGGCCCGCACCAGCCAAGACCAAGATTCCACACGATCCATGCTATGTAATTTTTCACTCGTCCACGGTATACGCCTCGTATTCTGTTACAACGCATAGACGGTAGCAATCTAGCAAAAACTGGTGATGTTGCTGTGGTATTCTAGAGGGTACAACAGCAGAGGAACGCAAACAACTCATCTTGCTTCCCCACGTTCCTGTGACGGAGTCCTGCTTGTAGGTGGAGCACTACCTCAGGTGGGTGACGTTGTGGTTTCCTAGAGAGACCAAGAGTTCAGTAAACCTTGTGTATATTGGGCTTGGTAGATTGAGCAGATGTATGATTTGATTCTAACACTGGGTAAAATTAACAAAACCGACTCTCTCTCTCTCTCTCTCTCTCTCTCTCTCTCTCTCTCTCTC